GTGCCTCCTGGGTGCAGTGATAGAGCAGGCCTTGGCTGGACAGCCTCCGATGCACACAGTGCCTAGTGCAGAATGCCCATAGAATTAGCACTGGTGATGACAGGTAAAACTGGAGCCTGAGGCTGAGAAGAGCTTGGGATGTGAGCTAAGGGGAGTTTGAATTCTGAAAAGATCTGTGGGGGCCTCAAACTTCTAGGGAGCTAGTTAGAGAAGGGCCAAAGCTTTGAACTTTTTCCCCTTCAAATGCAGCTTCTCCCAATGTCTGTGCTTGAAGTTAGGATGCACACAAGGTTAGAGAGAACTCCCAAACTCCTGCCACACATCCTCTTCATCATTCCCAAGTCCCTTGCAAAGAATTCTCTAAATCACAAGTGCCCGCTCTTCCTCCTGTTTCCAGGGGACTTTTAATCTGGCCTTTTGTCTCTCCCGTGCAGTTGGTAAACTGACCCCACATCCTTCTCCCTTTATCTGCCTCTCCATTGAACTGTATGGCAGTGGGGCTGACCACTTCACAAGTGCCTTTGTGTCAGTCCTCAAAAGAAAGGCTTTAAAACCTGTGACCGTGAAGCTCCAGGACTGCTCTGCTGCTGCCAGCTTCTGCAACCCTGAAAGCACCAGTATGACCAGTCATGGCACAGGTGGGCTTCAGGGACCACATTCAGAGAGGAGCTTGTAGGACCCCTAGTATGACCAGTCATGGCACAGGTGGGCTTCAGGGACCACATTCAGAGAGTTATTTGTAGGACCAAGCCCAAGCTTTCCTGAGGCCATGTGTGGATGGTGGGTGCCAGTGAATGGGCTTCAGTAAGGACAGTAGGTACCCATCGGGCATCCCCAGAAGAAATCATCCTTGGAAGAGCACATCTGGGAAGGTACTGGGCAGCCAAATTGCTGAGCTTTCTTTGTCAACAGTGATTGATAGAAGAAAAGGTGAAAATGAGGGAGATGCGCCCCCAGTCTGTTTCTTGTGGAAATAGTAAGTAGGAGTTTTTGTCTTAAGAACGCTGAGAAACCTCCCCAAGTGTCACAGGAGAGACATTGATGAGGGAGAGCAGGACTCTGGTTGGGCCAGCATTCTCTTCTACTATCCATACCACACTGTCAATGCTGTCATCTGCCTTCCACGAAAGCAGGAGGTTAGTAATGTGCTGGATCACTGAGTATCCTCTGGTGTTGCCAGCACTGAGCATCACAGCCTCAGGAGGCCCTAGAGAGCCTCACCCACAGATGCACAGCTGTTCCCCAGATAGATCTCTGCTGCGATGAAAGGGAAGAAAGTGGATGTTCCTCCCAGGTAGCTCTAAGAAAATGAGAACTCGCACTTAAAAAGAAGCAGAAGCCAGGCATGTGCTTGTAATCCTAACACTCAGGACACTAAAGTAGGAGGATTGCTCTGAGTTTGAGGCCACCCTGGGCTCCATAGAGAAATCCAGGCTGGGCTAAGAATGGGACTCTGTCTCCCAAAAACAAAAAGTGAAAAGGAAAGAAAGGAAGAGAAATAGAGACCATGAGTTTCAGCTCCCTCTGAAGTGCTTCTTCGGGAGCCATCCCTCACTCCCCAAGCAAGTCTTCTGGGTATGACCTGCATCCCTGTCTGTCCCTAAGGCCTTACTCACTGTACACTGTGACTCTGTCTGTGTTGTCTCCTTCTTTGGCCAGAGCCCAGCAGAGGAACACCCCCTCCCCTGCCCCCAAAAGTAGACAGTCTCCAGCAGGCAGTTAGTATCTGCTGTCAGGGAAGACAGGCCCAATAAAAACGGGCTTCTTTGGGGGAGTGAGGCAAAGGGGATGTGCAGGGCACTTTGAATTCTCAGCCCCGTTCTTTGTTCACCCCACCAGGAAGGTGGGCCCCACACAGTCCTGAGCTGACTCAGGCCTTCCTGCCCCAACTCACCTTATCTTGATGAAGAAAGCGATTTGTTTCCCTTCTCTTCTGTGAGCAGAAGCAGTTGAAGCACATCAAGCAGAACTGTGGGTGGTTTTCTGACTGTATAGTCCATTAAGCTGTGGATCCTAAAGTGATTTCACTTGTGACATGAGCCAAACCCATACCCGTTTCCTCTAGAAAACAACAGCTTGCTGCTCTTTAAGAACTGAGGTTCTGCCTGAGCTCTCTTGATCTAAGTAGAAGCACAGCCACAAATTTCTGTTGCACAACACAGACTGCTACAGTTGACACACCAAAGGAGGGCAGGGGGTCGGGGTGGGGGGCTTGAAGAAAATGTCACATTGCAGCTGCCGTTTTAACCATGTCAAGTTGGTTCTTTTTCAGTTATTTCTGAAATAAAACCTACCTGGAGCTCAGCCTTACCATGCTTGCCCATGCCCTGTTGCAACAATGGGTTTTTCTTGACAAGACAGACACTTCTTGCCCTTGTCATACCCACACCCCATGCTGTGGCTGTCATTATTGCATTACCATATTCAGCTCAAGGGCTGTGGGTTCAAGGCAGCTCATGAGTTCTTCTGGGGCTTTCCCACATGTGATGCTCAGGAGTCTTAAAGTCGCCCTGCTCCCTGAGAGACTCTGCCATCTGACAGTCACAGAGTTAGCTGTGTTTTCCATCCAAACACAAAGAAGTCTGGGTCCATCACCACTAGTTCCTTCAGCTGCAACTGGGTAGCCCAGCCTTGCCTCCCAGCCTTCTAATTCCTCAACAGGATTTCCTATTGAGATAAGTGTCCATGTTTGTCACTGAAAAGGGTACCAAGACTCTTATCTTAATGAATTAAAAAATGCCTCTGCTGTTATTTCCAACAAGCCTGCTCCTCGGGTATCTCTGATATAGGAAGGGGACTACTGGGCATCTTGTGTAGCAACAATTTCCTAAAGCACGTATCCGATTGCTTGCAATAGTGCCAGGTATCACCAGGCCCTACTGATCCCAGCTGACCCCACCCCAATCTGGTTGCACATGCAATACTGCCAAGACTGACTGGGCCATACTGATTCCAGTGGTTCCCACACCCTCCTTGAAATGGTTCTAAGAACCCCCAGTGACCCAGGTTGACATTTGAAGCCACAGATCATGCCATGCCCTACCTTGTCTAGAAACCTGCTGAGATTAATTGCTAAGTGCTTAATGAGAAGGTGGCATAAACATTGCAGACACAGTGGACAAAGTGATGGTTCACACCCTAGGAGAGGTAGAACGGACTGTATGAGGCTTCATTCACTACTCAGATACACACACAACTTAAAACTTAGTGATTATTGCACTGGAGAAATGGCTCAACAGTTAAGAGCACTGGCTGCTTTTCCAGAAGACCTGAATTTGATTCTCAGCACCCAAATAACAGCTCATAACCATCTGTAACTTGTTACAATCAACTGTAACTCCAATCCCAGGGGCTCTGATGTCTTCTTCTGGCCTCCATTGGCATTCAAGCGGCATAAAGGCATACATGCAGACAGACAGACAAAACTATACACGTAAGATAAAAATAACAAAAAACTCTAGAAGTTAGTTACTTCTCTGGTTTTCCATTTAATATTTCTGGACTGCTGGTGAAGCCTGGGATAACGGGAGCTGTTATAAACCTCCTTGTTTGTAAGATGACAGCAGTGACGTTTAGGTTGGTTTCGCACGTGCAGTTCAACTCCATGATCCCTGGTTCCCAATGCATTCTGGCTAGGGTGTCAAACTAGCATGGCCAATCTAAAGATGCCCAAGAATAAGATAGCTCCACTTGTCTGCCTTGAATGCAGTCATGGGTGTCCAGCACCCTGCTCTCTTCCTAACCCTCTGCTTCCTCACAGTCCCCAAGTCCGTTCTCCTCACTGTGCTGTAGGGAGACACCACTCCCTAACCCAGTTTCCAGATGCCTCTCCAGCCAGCTCTTGCAACTCTGCTTTCCCGGCTCTAGCCTCTCTGCTGTTCCACATAACTGGGACTACTCCCAGGATCCGAGGATGTTTGCCCTCCTCTTAGCTGGGTCACAGCTTTCTCTGAGCAGTCCTGTCACCTGTATAGCATTGTCCTATTTTGAACCCCATTAACACACTCTGTCCTCTTACTTAATGTCCTTGTGCTGGGCTCTGGGGAATGGTTGCCTACTGGTGAAGGAAGTATACAGATAGAAACCAGAGTCTCAGCAGTGGCCCCGAGGCATGCTCAGTTCTGCATCATTGTGATTGGGGCATTCTGTTTGCCCCACAGGGAAGTGACCCTTACCCAGGAAGGGTGGCCCGTAGGCCTAACTGGCCTCCAAGTAGTGAGGCTGCTCCCATGCCCGTGTCCTGGCTATGGATTCCAACCTAGAGTCAGGACTGGACTCAGTACTGACTTCCCTAATATCACAGTGTTGGGAAGCATGAGGGAAGCAGGGGCTCCTGCCACCTGCACTAACCCACCACGTGCCCTGCAGAAGCACAGCCCTCCCTTCCTATCCCGCCCAAGGCAGAGGAGCATCTTAGAGGACACCCACCTCCCGCCTTGCCTACCAGGCTGAGTGAAACAGAGGAGAGCAAAGAAGGTGTCCTGGTTAGTTTTATGTGAGGTTGGCACAAGATAGAATATCTGGGAAGAAGCGGCACAATTGAGAAAAGAACTCCATCAGTTTGGCCTGTGGGCAGTTCTGTTGGGGCTTCTTTTTTTTCTTTTTATGATTAATATGGGAGGGCCCACCCCATTGGGAGCAGTGCCACCTCTGGGAAGTTAGTCCTCCTAGATAATACGAGAAAGCAGGCTGAGCAAGCCAAAGCCTCATTCCTCCAGAGTCTCTACTTCATTCAGTTCCTGCCTCCAGGTTCCTCCT